TTGATTTTCTTTTTATACTCTGAAGTTAAAACGCTGCAATTTGGTTGGGTTTAATTATCTTTCGTTCAATGCTGAATAGCTTCGTGAAGTATGAAATAGTGAGATCCATACAGCTGCGCCAAAATCATCTTACTTTTTCCTCTTTTGTGAACTATACGTCGCAATGCAGAATTTCAAATGAAAAACTTATTTTTTATTGCTGTTCAACATCTGTATTTATAATTTCTTCTCAAGAGGGTTTAAACAAGGTAGAAATGTTTAGTAGAAAACAGATTGGTAGGATAAGATAGATAAAGCAACACTGCAGTGCTTATCTGCGGTATCTTTTGCCAGTTGATTCTTAAAAAACGGTTTCTTTCAGTTCCTTGGCTAAACACGTCTTACCTTATCTGCCGCAGCGGCCAAAATTGTTTGAGGATTACAAAAAGTAGTTTTCAAGTCGCCATAAAAAGGCTGCATGGTGATGAAGTAGTGCGATGTAGCATAAAGCGCTTCAGCACTGCCGAGAGGTAACAAGAAGGGTTTTATTCTGGTACAGATTTTGTCTGACCAATTTAGTTGCACGTGCCTCTCTATCATTCCAAAAATAATCACCTGAGAACAGCTTATTTCGGAACGAGAAAATAATGTCGCAGCAGGTGCGGATGTGCGTTAACCTCTATTCTGCATCTAAATCACTGACACCTCACTTCATGATCTTCATGAGTTCAGCAGTTTCAAGCGGCAGTTAGAAAACCTTGACGTAAACTACTCCTTATTTTGTTAACATAGGAATGCTTGTGTCAAGATAAGCGTCAAGTTTCCTTCTTAGATTTTAGTTGCTCAATGTCAGACGTTGACCACAACGTTATTATCTTTAAGACAGGTGTGCTTATATAGCGTACTTTTAGGTCATTAGCTCACAACAAAATCAAAAAATGAATTATCCAGTGAAGAGCTTTGTAACAGTGGTCAGATTTTAAAAGTAAGATGTGAGTTTTACTGTACTTTACAGAATAAGTAAGGTAACATCAGGCAATTTACCAGGGCGTGAAGTATTTCATGGCGGAAAAGATCTTTAGTAGCTGGGTACTCCCAGAGGTCCCTCTTCCTGTGACAAACGTTTAAAATGCCTGCTACTGGGCTGATAATAAACCAATATTCACTTTCCGTCAAAAAATTTACATGAAATGCAGAAAAACGATTTAATACAAAAAAATTATGTGGAGCCTTGGTCAAGAATGTGAAGCTTTTTAAACATTTGTACCAGAATTATCTTCAAGAAAAAAATATTGCTTATTCAGCAATATTTTCCGATATTCTGTAAATAGCCTATGACTTTTAACTTCAAATAAAAATAACATTACTGCTAATTCAGCAAAAAAATTACCGTTCATTACCAGTGACGGCACAAGGAGCTGCAGAAGCTAATATGGCACGATCCCTTTTACAGTGATTCTAGAACGAGTTTAAGTTTCAAAATGCATTATTTCAAAAGCAACAACTGTCCTTTGAAAATTTTTTTTCCGCGCAAAAATCTTAAAAGTAGCTTTTTATACCCCACAGTTCTCTCTAATTCACCTTAGTTTCCTTCCCAGAAAACTGGTTTCCTTGACTTTGCATATCAGGACCCAAGCCCTACAAACTGGTAAAGATTAAGAAGAACCCAAAAAATCAGCTCAGAAGAGAGCTCAACATAGGTCCGTAAATATTTTGGTAAACAATAAGCTTGCGAAATTTTAAAACCTACTTTTGAAGACTCCTTAGGGATAACTATTCACGATGAAACATTAACTTGAATAAGGAAATAAGAAGTGGGTAATTTTTCACACTGATGGACCAGGCCGCTGAATGGCAAAATTGGTAAAGGCTACAGTATCAGAGAGAGTGGGACAACGACGACGGCGCTTTCCACGTGCTCTCTTACTCATGTCTTCTGAGCACCTCTCCTCCTGTCAGGAGAACGGAAAATTGATTGAGCAGGTCATGAAGCATTGCAGAGTTGTCAATGCGGCTGAAAGAGCTGGAAGGTCCTGATCAGTAAAAAACGCGCTTTTTTATGTTTTTTACGTTTTCCAGTTAGCAAATTAGTCTCATCTCAGAAAGGTTTCTGGGCCGGTCGAGCCTAAAAACAAGCCTAAGTCTGATTTGATTCTTACTGGTAGATCGCAGTCCTGGTTGTTATTCGTTCGCTTAATTTTATAGTATTGGTGCCTCTTTTTGACGCTCGCTCGTGTTGTTACTATGTTAGTAGCTGACAAAAGCGTTTCCTTATCACGTGCGTTTCAAACTGAGCTCAAGAAAGTCATAAGTGGAGCTTAGAGAAGAGTAAGAGAGTAGGATTAACAGTGCAAATTAAAATCCTCCCTGACACATCTCCCCTTCCCCGCAATGACAGCGGTGCACTTTTCAGTGCTGCAACTTTTGTTTTGAGGTCGGCAAGTTGGTGTTTTAACCGCAATTAACTCTCGAAATTTAACTTGTCATAGAAACTTAGAAATTTTCGCATGAATATTTCATAAGGCACCTTTCAACGATCACATCTTTTTCTAAGAAAATAGAGATTGTCCAAACGTCTTTACCAGGAGAAAATATAACAAAAGGTTTTTGAGAAGGCCCATAAATTTTTTGGTGTCACAGTGGAAAGACAAAATACTTCACCTCTTCTTCCTCTGGTCAAGCAGTATATTTTTTTTTGGAACTTTCTTAGTTTCTGGTCAGTGGGCGACATACAGTAACAACAAGAATATGCCAAAAGGATCAGCAGTAAACCGTTATCCACGGTCTATTCTTTATTAATCCTGAGTCTGATGCTTGTACAAGCACCGTAAGGTACCTGCGGCAGAGATTTAAAGACTATCATAAAACAGGGGGTGCGACAGAGAAGGCACTGTAAGACTTATACGAAGAAATTTGTTAGAAAAAGGTATACGGGGATAACGCATTGTACCGTTTTTGGTACCATATAGCAGAACTATTCACTAGCTCATAGTTGTCTACAAAAATGTCAGTGATATTCATAGGTTCCCAATCAGCCATAAAAAGATCCCGTATTTGAAAAGCTTTTCAAATGGTAGGCACCAATACTGCTTTTTACTCTGATTTGGAGAATAAAGCTTAACAAAACCTACCCGCACAGGCAGTGAATGTCTAGCCCTTCCCTGCCAAAAGGCACCGCTCTCTCTTTGGTATTGCAGGTATTTTAAAGAAGAGGGTTTTTCGGAAGTAGCAAAATAAATAATTAGCCTTGAGCATTATTTTAAAGCAATTACCTAATAATATAATGTTCCTTACTGTTTATCACCCCATTCGCACTAAGGCATAGCAGTTTATATTCGTACAATTTAGTATTGATAAATAAACAAAACCTGTAGGAAGAGAACAAAATTTGTAGAATCAACGTTGATATTCTGTCCATAGTTAAATTTCCTAGTCTTGCGCTTCGGAAACAACACTGTTAATAAAGCACCTTCATAAAAATCCCATTTCGAAATACATTTTCGATATGCGGCGCTTTTGAGCTTTTTCACCCCAGAACCCTTACGGATGTATATGAGCGAGTGGTACTGCACTATTGTTGATATCAAATTCTCCTGAAGAATAATTCCAGTGTATTAACGAACAAAGGCAATGATCATGTTGTTACAGCTGTAATAAAAAAATAAACAACTGATAGTTAGTGAAGATTTACCAAATATCGCAGTAAGTCACCATTTATTTTGCTGCAAAGTGAAGAAAAACATTTACCAATGCCTATCACAGAAAATTAAACAAAGCAGAAATTAGGCTTTCTCTACTCTACAAGTAAAAAAAAGGCAACGTCCTATATTGAAATATAATTTGTAACATATAAGACTGAACAAACAATGTTGAGAAAAATAGAAATTTGCGCTTTCAATGAAGTCTTTGAATGTATTACATAAAAGCACTACTGAAAATTTTATAAAAACAAAACTCTTAGGCCTTATCCGCGTATGCATTTGGAGGTCGCAGTGAAGAACTAAGAAATTACAAGTTTTTTTTCGGAAAAATTCGAAGATACCAGGAGGAACGGCTGAGAAATACACTGATTTTTGCAGTCAAAAACTTCCCTGCGCTTTAAAGTGGTGTGGGAAAACAAAAACGTTGAATGGACAAGCCTTAGCAGACGACTTACCAAAAACTAACAATAACAGTACTTTTCTCTTTGCCACTAGCTACTTCTACACAATAAAAGTAAGTCGTTTTTCAACCAAAAAGCCGTTTTTGAGGAAAAGTGGACAGTGCGTGGTAATTAATTTCATCAGCAGTAAAAAGTACTGAGAAAACGATAATGAGAGAACGAAAATATAAATTTTTTGACGAAATCCTAGTGGCAAGCCTTAGCAGAAGTTGTTTATTTAACTAATAAGGTTTAGTATGAAAAAATTATTGAGGCTTCGTGGTTGAAGGGTTTGTGTAAGTATTTTTGTGTTAAAAATTAAGAATATCTGAGCAGTGAAGTTGTAAATTGCGTATTAGGCGCAATGAACTCACCTTGCTGTTAGGTGGCAGAAAAAAGTTTTTTGGCGTAATGAGAGCAATGTTAAGAGGTTCCCAGTCTATACTTTTGGCTCGCACTAAAGTCGTAAGACCGATTAATATCGAAACTAACATCTCTTTTACTTTTACAAAACGCTCTGCAACATTGCTGTTTGGGTCGAAAGAGCAATGAATAATCACTTTTTGACAAAGGCAACAATAGCCAGTACGACCATCGTTATCAAGTAACAACGTAGAAATATCATCGGCAATTATTCCAATACTGTTTATTGAACTGAAATGCCTTGCTGCGCCATGTGACTGTCTATTTCAGATAGCAATACGTTCCACATTTGTTTCCATATCTGACTTTCTTTTCAAATTATCAAAACAAAAAATCAGCAGCTAATGAAATACTAAGACTGTTCTAGAATGCTTTGATATCAAGTGTTTTTTAGGAGATTAAATTTAATTTTTGTGGTTAAAACTGACAAATATTTTGCTTTTCTTTTTATGCTGTTTAATAGCACACCTTTTAAACTTACCATTCACTGCTCATCTCGCTCTAAAGTTATCTGCGTAGATAGACTTCAAAATTTTTTTCAGCTTCTGTTTTAAACTTCTTCGGACGCCTGAATTTTTAGCCAGTTTGCAGTTCGAAACCATTAAGTGGAATTCACAGCTTCGTAATTCACACCTTCAATTTCAAAATTCTGTAGTAAAGATTGTTACTGGTTTTCAAAGAAAAGTTAACTGCTTTTTCAAATTCTTATGTGCTTAGTCTGTAGTGCTTCGCAAAAAAAGCAAGAATAGAATTTGATATTTTGACGACGTGATAGACAACGAAATAAAGACGCACAGAAATGTATAAACAATAATAGAGAATACCTTAAAGTTCCAAGCAGCAGAAAAGTTAGGCTTGTCTAAGTTGAGAACAGGCAAGCGACTGTTCGGTGATTCGCAAGAAAAACCTGGTCATTTTCTAAATCAGAAAATGAAATTTTCAAAAAACCATTCGCTTGCTTCTCTGTACCTAATGGTCTCTCTCCCAATGTTTCTGTGCTTTCATTTACCCCAGTTGCTTAGTTTCTCTGCTTATTTGCCTGTGTACCTGCTTTTATTTCTCCGTATTCTTCATCTCTTCATTTCCTTCAACAGTCACTATTTTTGGTAGTCTGTCTCTATAATTTATGTTCTTTTGCAAATTTTTTTCAGAGAAATAATGATTACAATACAAAATACGGGCATTTCTCCGACCGCCGCTTTGGAAATCTGCATTAGCTTTAGTGATATAAATGAACAGTGCAGCTTAGTACGCTGAGCTGTTACCGATGAGTTTTAAATTGGAAGTTGATGGAGGACTAACAAGTGAAAAGAACACTGTAAGAAAGTTATTTTACGTTTTAGGTTGGGAATAGTAGCGCCCATTTGGTGTCTTGCTGACCGGATTTCTTATACAGTATTTCGTTGTTTTAAAAAACTTGAAAAAAATTATGCGTTTTCATAACACAGATGAAGAAAGCGTGTGGTTGGACGTGTATTAGGCATTTAACTGTTACTGTTTTTTCATCTAATGAGTAATTACGAAAGAGCGTATCGAAAGAGTTTAGATTTGTATCAAAAAGTTTTTTTCAGACTTCTTCTCGCTGTTAGCAAACGAAATTAATTGTGTGTTTTGATGATTTAAAACAGAAAAATACTGTACCTAAATAAAACGTTACATTTTTGTTCATTAGGTTCAAAAGTACCGCACTTTCTTCACTGACAAGTGGAAACAATATTATTGAGAAAACTAGCATAAAGCAATAATTTTAGAATCTTATGTACTGGTGACAAAAAGCTTTACGAGTTTTATATCAGCAAATGAAAAGAAAGATTGTCACAAAAAAATTAACAGATTTTGAATCCTTTAATTCGTCAACCAAATAACAATTCCTAATTTCCATTTTTTCAAAACTTTAGAGTATTTTAGATAATGCATTGCAGCAAATTTATAAATCTGCAGCTGGAATAGTTGGTCATCTTTTACTGCTTATGCTGTGTTACCATTTATATTACGAATGCCGCATTAACAGAGCTTCGCTGATACTTTGTAATGCTTCTTGGAGTATGCTATTATATCTTAGCAGTTGACGGTATAAAATCAAAGTCAGAAAAGATAGAGAGCTGTTTAAGTGGAACGCATTTAAAAACTCGAACGAATATAAAATTTACGTGAAGAAATTACACTTCATTAAAAACATTTAAAAACTTGATACAATAAATAGGATAATACGAAGCGGGCGCGACATAAGCTAATTAAACAACTTAAACAGCGTCAGCTTTTAGATGGGTAACAGTATGTAACTCCAGACTGCCGTCAATCCTAAACGTTCGAATCTTACTGGCGTCTTCCCTGTGTAAGTACGATGCGAAATGTATCCCATTTAAA